CACAAATGCAGATATGGTTTTATGTTTACGCGGCGCGATGCAATGCAACGCGTAAAAAGACAGTATAAGTCATTGTAATCCGTAATTATGTCTCCACTGGATGCAACAAATTCCTTGTTTATAATGGGTTTTAATGTTTATGTCTCGTCGTGCTGGCCAGGATAAGGCATCACAATATGGTAGAGGGGCGTAACATTTCCGTCACACGCTTGAGGTATTCAATCACAATGCACTGGATAGCTGGCCAGTCAGAGCACACCTCGCTTTTCAGACCGATGAGCTTTGTAAAAATCGACGCGTTTCAGAAAGGCGGGGCATAGAGGAGAAACAATAATGTATAGTATGTGGAAAATAATGTGTTTTTTAACCTTAAACCGCATAAACACATTTCATTACACCAAATACACAAAATAATGTTCTTTTTGGCAACATCATATGACCCCTTTAAAAATCATCGGTCATTGATCCAACCTTGTCACCTCACGTTCATATCTTATTTCTCCTAGCCAGAGGATGTGAGTTTCTTCCTCTGCAAAGAAGTGGATCCCTCAGTATCAGAATCCTTTTCATTTGTGGCCATTCCGCCCCCTGGTGGTCAGGAGGACTCTGAGACACCCCGGGAGTTTCCAGAGGGCTTTGAGCCTCTGCGTTCGGAGCAATTAGCAGAGATGAACGTGCAGAGTTCTCCCATTGTCAGAAACCCCTACATGTCCCCTCTTCTGGCTCCAGACAGCATGCTAAAGGGACTACCTCCAATACACATAGTGGTAAGAGTGTCTTTTACAACTGATCAATTTAAGAAGATGTGGTAGAATAAAGTTATTTTCAGAATTTACTTTCTCATCATAAGCTCATATTTTGTCTTGAGTCTTGTATCATCTGTCTCATCCCTCTTTTCTCAGGCCTGTCATCTGGACCCCATGCTGGATGACTCTGTGATGTTTGCCAAAAGGCTGCGAAATATCGGTCAGCCAGTGACCCTGTGTGTCGTGGATGACCTTCCTCATGGCTTCCTCAGTCTGTCCCAGCTCTCGAGGGAGACTCGGGAAGCTGCTAACGTATGCATGGAGCGAATCAGGGATGTCTTCACCATGAAAGACCCTCCCCCAGAGATGCGCAAGCACCTCAAACTGGAACGGACCAACCAGAAGCCTTCTGCTACCAAAAGAGACCACACTCAGCTTTCGCAAGTGACTGTGCAGGAGGAGGAGGAGGAGGGGCTATCTGTTGGGGGAGGGGCTTCTGTTTTGGATGAGGAGGGGCTTACTGGTTTTTACCCTCCCACTAAAGCTGAAGCTGAAAAGATTCCAGCTTAGATTTTGGCCTGAATGATACCAAAAGAGATACATATGGGTAGAGTAAGGTCATATTATTTGAATAATGCAGTGATTACAGCGGACTAGAGTATAGAGAGAAAAATAAAGGAATTAACCAACTATTAAATGAAAACTTATGAAAGACACTATTATTTAGTTATAGATTGGATAAAGTTCAAATTAGAACACCTCCAGCTTTAGTACACAAATATGATTGTGTACACATGCACTCCCTTTACATCTGTTTACCACCTTGCCTTTTGTTGCGTTATACCAGCACAAAAACTAATATCCTGCCTTGTACAAAACATCCCAGCACATAACCTTCATTGAAAGACATTACAAATGGATGTATAAACCCAAACCTCACTCCTTATAGCACTATAACTGTTCTTATACGTTAATGAAATCGGTCTACAAACTGTGATTCAATATTATACCTGTGTGCTACAATTTAAACTCCATAGAATGCATTGCTGCTTGGCATCCTGGGGCTAACTGACGAGAGCATTTATTAATGGTTGATTTTTTTTCTTTATAGTAACTTTTTAATTATTTATGACACCAAATTATAATATGGTGTTACTGTGTATGTTAATCACCCTTTATTAATCTACCTGCCTCTCGGCTCCTAGAGGACGTCCTGTGCGAGTAGCGTTTGAATAGGATTTCTGATGCTGCTTTGTCCTCATAGAGGTGGGTGTTTATGAAATGCAATTAATCGTGATCAAATTTCCCACAAGCGTTCTGTGGAAGGAAAGCTCAATTACACAAAACCGCACTGAATTTGTGATATAGTGTTACTTGTGTTCTATGGTGTCCAGTCTTGTTATACTTAAAATAATAGTGAATTTTGTCATATATTATCTTCATTATGGCTTGGTGGATTGTGTTTGGTTTGCTGTAAAGTGCTAGTTCATCCAAAAATTTAAATTCTGTCGTAATTTTTTCACCCTCACATCATTTCAAACCTGTATGACTAGTTCTTTAAGAACGTTTCAGCTATTTTTGCCCAAACAATGAAAACCACTAGGGTCCAAAACAAACCAACATGGGGCTCCTTTGACTTTTATTGTATGGGCAAAAAAGCTGAGAATATGTTCCACAAAACAATGAAAGTCACACAGTTTTGGAATGACTCAAAGGTGAGTAAATAATGCCAGAATTTTCAGTATTTGGATGAATTTTCCTTTTAAGTCTCAAGTGGTGTTGAAGTGGCATAATTCAAATAGTTAAGATTTTTGTTTGTTTATCATAATCATACTATAATCACATTTATCTGTACAGTTAAACAATAGATTAGTTTGCATGTCAAAAAGACAAGAATATTAACCTTAAAAAGGCGGTTCATGCTCGAAAACTCTCCAATGTGGCTGAATTACAACAATTCTGCATAGATGAGTGGACCAAAATTCCTCCACAGCACTGTAACAGACTCATTGCAAGTTATCGCAAACGCTTGATTGCAGTTATTGCTTCTAAGGGTGGCCCAACCAGTTATTAGGTTTAGGGGGCAAACACTTTTTCACACAGGGCCATGTAGTTTGGGATTTTGTTTTCCCTTAATAATAAAAACTTTCATTTAAAAACCGCATGTTGTGTTCACTTGCGTTATCTCTTACTAATATTTAAATTTGTTTGATGATCTGAAACAATAAAGTGTGACAAACATGCAAAAAAATAAGAACTCAGGCAGGGGGCCAACACTTTTTACACCACTCTATATGTATTATATATATATACTGATTTAAAAACTGCACAAAAACTGGACACTCCAGCCATGTCCACACGTACACAGGTATTTTTATAAACTGAGTTTTTCCTTCTTCCGTTTTAAAACACATCTCCGTCCACATGAAAACGCAAACGCATGCTGTGAAGCACTGTCAAGAGCATGCCAAGCCAACAGGTGGCGATATAATCTCAACCGTAAAGCCATGTTGGCCAATCAGAAGCCTGAAAAAGTTTCCAGTAGGCGGAGATAACAGCGCAGGCTTGGACGTCACAAGCCAAAAACTCCGGTTTCGCTGTCTACAGGATAACACTGCAACCGGAGATTTTGAAAATCTTCACCCTGGCAGGCGTTTCCAAAAATGTTCGGTTTAAGTGACCTGGTGCTGCGTTTGCGTGTGGACGAACTGCCAAACCGTGTAGAAAAAGCTGCGGTTTTAAAAATAACCGCGTTCGTGTGGACACGAACTGCCTTTGGGTCGTTCTCTTGACATGTCAGCACAAGTTTCCATTACTTTTCCCTATCCCTTGTTCCTTGCTTCAGTCAGGTTGTTTCCCTCTGTTAACAATCGTGTCATCTGTCCCTGTGCACGCTGACCCATTTTGAGCACACTCTTCAATTCTCACCCAGCCCCTCCTAGAGGTATTTTAAGCAGACTCACTTAACACCCAGCAACCTTGAGCCAATGAAAACTTTCAGCCTGCACATGTGCGATACATACCGCTGTGATAGCGTGTCTCCATTTGAATCAGGTCGCCTCTTTCTCTGGCACTAATTGACTCTATTGACTCGGAAAAAAATAGCCAACATTTTGCCACTCCATAAAGTTTATTAGTGCTGTATGGGAGGTTTGGGCCTTTGCGTGCACAGCTTTGCTGAGTGACAGTGGCCTGAACTCCTAAAGTGTGTTTCTTTAGTGCACATACCCTATTTAAAGTATTGTTGACTTTATTATGAAACAACGAGTTATAACTCCACTTAATGTCATTTTAAGCTTTGCTCAGCTAAGTGGCACAGCGCAATATGTCTTTTGGGACTTTATATATCCCCGGCAAAGGCCTCTTTATCAGTGTGTCTGTGATTGGATTAACCCAGAGCTATGTGCTGAGAGAAAACAATGCTCCATCTACTGCTGATTGCAGCATTTGAGAGTTAGTTTATAAGAGTGTCACAATATCAAAAGATTTGCTTGCTTGCTCTTTTCACCGTGTCAGAGCTGCTCCTTTCTGGTGACGGATTTAAAATACCAAATCTTGGTTACTCTGCAGTTTCTGTTGGTGTGCGTATGTTACACATGTCTGGTCATTTATGCTTCTGGGTATTTTTGTCAGATGGTTCCTGTTTCAGTCAGTTTGGTTCTGTATGTGCATGTTCAGAATTTTGTTTGTCACACTTTGTGTTCTAGTGGTGCATGGAAAAGCTTCTCATTGCCATTGTGCTAGTAGATGTGAAGGCCATTGTGTGTAGTCCCTTCGTGGAACCATGACTAAAACAACCAGAACTGGGAGAGGAACGATAAGACACTCTGACGCCCTCTGGTTATCCGTTCCAGGCGAGTTGTCTCTGTAAGCCTTTTTTTATTTTTGGTTGGACAATGTAACATTGAATGCACTGCTGAGCATTTCCACCTTGTTTTTTCCACGTTTTTTTTGTGTGTGACTCTCAAACTGCCTCCCTCAGAGAGGGTGTTATATAAAACACCATGTTAATTTAGTCATGTTTAAATGGCCATACATGTGTTACCGAGGCGAAACTGTGCTGCATCATCTCCCCTCAGAGGCACAAGCCCACTGAGTCGTGTCACTGCATTTTACATCTGTTCTCAAGACTAATAGTCAATCTGTCACTGACTTGGAGTCTTAATCAGTAGGTTGGTGTTTTGTTGTATCAGAATGGATTTGCTGCAAGTGATTTTGAGCTCCTGTCCTCTTGAAGTCCACTGACGGTGATGTTACGCACTTTAAGTGCAGGCTGTAATGACCACTGCAGTATAATTTGCGAGGGTGCTGATGTCTATTCTCTCCTCATTTTCACTGCCGTCATTGAGTGATACAAAATCCAGGCAAACGTTTTGCGTTCAGTCAGAACTGATGTTTTCAGGACAATCTCTGCAAACAAGCACTTTAGTTAAGTGTAAACAGCAGCATATGTGACCCTGGACCACAAAACCAGTCATAAGTAGCACGGGTAAATTTGTAGCAATAGCCAACAATACATTGCATGGGTCAAAATGATAGATTTTTCTTTTATGCCAAAAATCATTAGGATATTAAGTAAAGATCATATTCCATGAAGATATTTTTGTAAATATATCAAATTTTTGGTTAGTAATATGCATTGCTAAGAACTTCATTTGGACCACTTTAAAGGTGATTTTCTAAATATTTAGATTTTTTTTGCAATATCTCGGTCAAATATTGTCATATCCTAACAAACCATACATCAATGGAAAGCTTTCAGAGGATGTATAAATTTCCAAAAATTGCCCCCTATGAATGGTTTTGTGATCCATGGTCACATAGGGTGGCATAGAACTTTCAGCTGGATGAGTTGGTTTTTTTATGATTATGTGATTATTTTTAATAGTAACAATTATTGAAAATATTATTAATAATTATTATAATTGTTTATAATAATACATTATAATAGTTTTAGTATTATATTAGTAATAATTATAATTATTATTATTGATATTCTTGTTATTATTCTTGTTATTATTATTCCTCATGTAAAGACACCATAAGTGCAAGCTTGTGTATTTGGAATGTACTGTATGCAGAGATGACATTTATTGTATAGAGAGAGACCATAATTAGCCTATACTCTTACGTTGTTGTTTTTTCCACGACAGAGTATTTTTGAGACTTGTGAGGACTGTGGGAATGTTACAGTGATAACTGAGAGTATTTTTCTGCAGTATGTATTTTCCCTGTGTTGATTTATATTTGAATAAATATTTTCTCTGCATCTCTGTGTTTAGCTACCTTTTGTAGTGTGGCAGGATAAAAAAAAACATGACTCTAATAAACCTTATTAAATCTGTAAAGGAAGGGCTTAAATCGATAGAAATGTGCCTATTTGTGTAATGTTATGTCGCAATAAAATATCGGCAGCGCGCGTGCGATACCAGGCGCGCTCCCGGCGAAAATTCTGGGGATGCATGTGTTTGAGGCGAAGAACGGGGACGCGCGTCTGGCAGATCTCCGCCAGCTCTCTCTCTCTCTCTCTCTCTCTCTCTCTCTCTCTCTCTCTCTCTCTCTCTCTCTCTCTCTCTCACACACACAATGTGCAAAACTCCGCATTTGAACAGTCAATAGCAAATACTTAAACTAATAACAAAACAGTAGCTGAACTCTCTCACTCACTCTCTCACTCACTCACTCTCTCTCACACACACACACACACACACACACAGACAGCATCGCGAGGAGAGCGCAGAAACGGTGGACAGGTGAAGATGGAGAAAGTATTAGGACTCGCCGTGGTGTCCAGTATTTTATGTGTCGGCTCGGTTTTGGGGAAATACGTCAGAGGTATCGTCAACACAAAAGAGGTGAGTATAATGTTTAGGTTTTATTGCTGTTGTGCTGGTAATGGTTCTGAGTTCTCCGGCGTTCTTGCTGCGCAGCTCCTGGTGGCTGTTATTAATGGGCTCTTATGGCAAGTGTGTATTCACGCCTCCGCGTTCGCGCGCATCTGGAAGCCTGATGCTTTAATTTGCTTTGCCAGGATCATCACACTCGCCGCTATTGAACCGATGAAAGCGTAATTCGTCCTCCAGCCACGGAAATTACATTTTAAACGGCGTATTGCCGACATTTAACTTACATCCTCCCTTCCGCTTTTACAGGTGTGTGTCGACCAAGATGCTCTTCTGGTGTCATTATACAGCATTATGGAATTGCAGTTATCGCATGCTGGTGTCCAAACAGATTTAAGGTTGCTTAGCTGTGCTTATAAAGGTGCGAGTGTGTGATGTGTGTTAATGTGCATGGACATAATTCAAACATTCATTTGGAAGCAGACGATTTGAGTCATATATTGCTTTTGAAGTGTGTCTTTATTTGGCATTCATCATTTTCTTTATTTTTAATAGCTGCCCGATGTTTTGATTGCAGTGTGCCTTATGGGAAACACTGGATATTATTTGATAGACACAAAGTAAATGTTGGCCTGAAGCAAACAGTGAGACTGATTTTGCTGCAGAAAGTTATTGCAGCACTTGTTTCATCAGAATAATTTAATGAACAAATATGGGGGAAATACAGAGAAATGAGGGAACAATACATTTATTTCTTTTCAAAAAAAGCATAGTCAGCTTATAAAGAACTGCTTAATTAAAATTACTCTTAGTACTGCTCTCTTTTAGGTCGTTGAGACTGTTAAATAGTCCATTAATCTCACTTCTGTTTATTTCCTTAAAATGCTGTTCTTTTACACTGCCATGGACGCATGCACACACTTTATCCATTACTGGAAGGTTTTGTCAAGTTCAACATTTTTGCTCAGTGTTCAACGTGTTTAACATCTATCTGTCTATCTATCTATCTATCTAATCATTTTTTTCAGTGTTAGTTTTTAAATAATA